ATCATTAATTATTGATATTGTCTATTTATGACTCAAAAGTTTATGCCCTTGTCAGACTTGATAAAGAAAATGGTCTTGAAAGAAATATAAGGACCCTTCCACCAATAACCCCTTCCCCTCTTCCCTCCTAGTCACTGTCTTAGCCTCTGGGACTTCTGAGTCCTGATTAGGGATATCACAAAAAAATGAATGTGGATATGTCTCATTATGTTTTTTTCTATCAGTGCATTATGGTGTTGATTGATAACACACATGATTGATAATGTTCACTGATATGGTGTTTATTTCTGATGCTATAATAGATATCATCAAAACAATTATGAAAACAATGAATTTCCAAGCTTGTATTATGTAATTAAATCTCAGAAAATGGAGACAAGCCATATTCTCTGTCATATCTCCTGGTCTCTGGAAGTTTCTTGTGGAGACAAGCCATATTCTATATCATATCTCTGGGTCTCTTGGTTTCTATCCACCAAGAGGAGAAGAATCCAGAAAAATTAGCTACTTTATTTAATATTTACCCACATCCTATCTAATCTCCCTTAGTTACCATGCAAGCAAAGAATGCTGCTTTAATGAACTCCACCTCCTCTAGGCGCCTCTAGTAGGGAACTGTTTTTGGAGCACAAACTTGCTCTGCACTGAGAAGACAGGCCTGTACTCGTCTCTTTCTGAGATTTCCTAATACATCCATAATCTCCATAAATCTCGTGTAACAGATATTGGTGTTGCATGCTTTATCCCCACATATCAGATCAGGAAGCTAAGAGTCAAAGTGGCCAGGTAACTTGTCCTAAGTCATAAAATTAGCAAGCATTACAGCCAGTATTCAAATTTTTCTTTACCTAGCTCCAAAGACCTTCTGCTTCCTGTGATGTTTAAGGAGGTAGTAGATGGGCAGGATTGGGCACTTCCCTCCACCCCTGTTTTGGAAATCATGGCTGGAGTTCAAGGGCAGTACAGATGGGGTGTGACATGTTTCCCACGTATGTCAGACGATGGAGACCCACTGCAAATCATGTTACTGCCATTCAGCACTAGCCATTTTTCACATAACGGCACTTGATTATTGACTCAGGGAGTTTCTTCGGATGTTTTTTCTTATTCATGCTATGTTTTAGTTGGTTTATCTTTCCATTATAAATTTACATTGTATATCAGATTTGCTGTTTTATCTAAATTGAACTTAAGCTTTAAAACTGTAACTTTTCTATTATAGGGAACACTTCTATATACTTAGGATTTTAGTAGTTGTACAGAGGTATCTTGAATATTTTTTACAGTTTCCCTTCACAAAAAAATTCTTTTTTTTTTTTTTAATTGTACTTTAGGCTCTGGGGTACATGTGCAGATCATGCAGGATTGTTGCATAGGTACACACATGGCAATGTGGTTTGCTGCCTCCATCCCCCTGTCACCTACATCTGGCATTTCTCCCCATGTTATTCCTCCCTGACCTCCCCACCCCTCTGCTGTCCCTCCCTTGGCCCCCCCCACAACAGACCCCAGTGTGTGATGCTCCCCTCCCTGTGTCCATGTGTTCTCATTGTTCAACACCCGCCTATGAGTGAGAACATGTGATGTTTGATTTTCCGTTCTTGTGTCAGTTTGCTGAGAATGATGGTTTCCAGATTCATACATGTCCCTACAAAGGACACAAACTCATCATTTTTTATGGCTGCATCGTATTCCATGGTGCATGTGTGCCACATTTTCCTTGTCTAGTCTATCATCGATGGGCATTTGGGTTGGTTCCAGGTCTTTGCTAATGTAAACAGTGCCGTTATAAACATACGTGTGCATGTGTCTTTATAATTTAATGATTTATAATCCTTTGGGTATATACTCAGTAATGGGATTGCTGGGTCAAATGGAATTTCTATTTCTAGGTCCTTGAGGAATCGCCACACTGTCTTCCACAATGGTTGAATTAATTTACACTCCCACCAACAGTGTAAAAGTGTTCCTATTTCTCCACATCCTCTCCAGCATCTGTTGTCTCCAGATTTTTTAATAATCGCCATTCTAACTGGTGTGAGGTGGTATCTCAATGTGGTTTTGATTTACATTTCCTTTTGTTGCAGTGGGAGTTCCTTGATTTGAACCCCTGGAGCAAAATATAACCTTAGAATCTCCTAGAATTTTTATCTGGTTTTATAGCAGCTTTGGCACAAATTCCAGCTGCTTCTTCCCACTTTCCTTCCTGTGGTGTTTGACTTTAAATCTATTCTCACTAGTAGAAATTGAAATTTAGAACTGGGACCTTATCTTTTGTCCCTATAGCCCCTAACTTGTCGTATGTCTTATCTGATGAATTGGTTGTCTTAGGGTCTTTGATCTGAGGATACTGTGAACATACCTCAGGGCTTCCAATACATTTTTATTTCTTCTCCTCTATTTTCAAAGGTGTCAAATGAAACTGACTTAAAAGTGTATCAAAAGGACCTTTTCCTCTGTAATTAGTATTTCTCTGAATTTTCCTTATTTGGAGCACTTTGTCATTGGCAGTCCTTCCTTTTTCTAAACATTTTCCGTACTGATCAGAGATGGCATCTTGTGGTGCCATCTGGGCCACCTGCCCTCACTTGAGAGTCATTTCTGTTTTGGTGCCCATGTTGTTCATGGTTGTTGTTCATGGTTCTTTGCTCTTAGCTCCTCACTGGAGCTTTCATTTATTTGTACTGCTCACCCACGTAGGGAATATCTGATTTATGTCATAAAGCCTTTTTATTGTTATCTTTTTAATCATGAGGGATAGAAATATGGATTTTTTTTTTTTTTGAGGCAAATTCTCTGTCACCCAGGGTGGCCGAGTGGCACAATCATAACTCACTGAAACCCCTAATTCCAGGGCTTAAACAATCATCCCACCTCAGCCTCCCAAGTAGCTAGGACTGCAGGTGCATGCCGCCACACCCTGCTGATTGCTTTAAAAAATTTTTGTAGAGATGGGGTCTCGCTTTGTTGCCTAGGCTGGTGTTGAACTTCTGGGCTCAAGTGATCCTTACCCCTTGGCCTCCCAAAGTGTTAGGATTACAGGTATGAGCCACTGTGCCTGGCCTCGATTTTTCTTCTGAGATGGTTTCAGGAAGACTATTTTAGTAGAAATGGAATGAGCTTTAGAGTTAGATTGAAATAAATTTGAAATCTGGTTCTATTACAAAGTAATTGATACCCTTAGAAAAGTAGTACCATTCCCTGAGCCTTCTTTTTCTATTCTGTAAAATGAGGATCTAATAGTGACCTGAGCAGATCACTGGCAGGCTTAGAAAAAGCATGGGTAGAGCACCGCATCTGGCACATAGCAAGTGCCTGATTATTACTGGCATTGTAATGATTACTTTATTAGAATTATGATGAGGTGGGTTATCTCACATTGGATTTGAGCAATAGTTAGCTCTAGCACTACACTTAAAAGAAACATAGCAGTAAATAAACAATAGTACTTGCCCTTGAGAAGTTTATCATCTTTTAAAGAAGGCAAAATGTGTATCAAGAACCACTAAGACTTATGCAAATGTCCATTATTTTTAAAGGTTACAATATGATAGTTTTAAATACTATAAATACTGTTTAATGGGTCAAATAATGGTCTGTGGTTTATATTTTCAAGATAAGGGAACTGAGACCTAAAGAGGGAAGGTTAATGGATTTACCCCTAGCCTCCTAAGCCAATTAAAGGAACCTGCGGGGATTTTTGCATGGGTCTTCCTGTCGGTGCAGGATGCACTTTTGACCCCTGTGCTATCCTGCTTCCACGAGGAATGTGGTGAATATTATAAGATGTACATAGTAAATGCCACTGGTGCCCCGAATAGGCAAGATCAGGTTTTTTGCAGGAACTGATAGCCAGAGGCTTCTTGGAGGAGGTCACATCTGAAGTAGGTGTGCGGGGGTAGGCAGGATTTCAACAGGAAGAGGAGAAGGAGGGAGGTCATGAATAAAAGCAAGAAGTTGGGTGCAACAGCTTTCTGTAATTTTTTTTTTTTTTTCTGGGAGCATTCAGTTTAACAGAGTACACACAGAGACTAATGAATAAAATGCTGGAATATAGGTTTGTGCTAGATGAAAGGGATCTTAGATTCTTTTCTCACCAGCTGACAGCGTGAGACTTAAAGGGTTTGCGTGGCGTGACATAACTCTGTTAATGATGCTCATTTTGCAGAATTATGTAGGGCTTTGTGGAGGTAAATAGAGTGGATCTAGACTACAGTTGAGGGCTATTATGAGACTCTAGAAAAGATGTGACGAGAGTGTGACTTAGAGCAGTGAGAGAAAGAATGGAAAGGAAAGGGCAGATGAGAGACTCAAGAGGTAGAAAGCAGTAGCGGGGAGAAGACAGCATGCAGAAAGACTACAGGATGCAGCCTGGCTGTCACGGGGAACAGTGGTTTCAGTAAGACATGGTGTCACTAGTGTCCCCGCCCCCTCCCTTCCAACAAAAGGGGGCAAATAGTTGTCTTCATAGACCCACTGGAGCATTTTGGCCGGGACCCTCTGATACTAGGGCTCTGAGCCACAGCCCCTAGTGGGTCCTCACTCTGGTCTGTAGAGCAGCTTGAAATGTTTCCATTGCTGTTCCTTGAGTGCTAACACATTGCCTCCTGTTTTTATTAAGAGGGTCACTGTGGAGGGAGTGTGACTTTGTAGGAGCTGTCAGAGCTGAGTTTTTTCAATAAACTCATGGGACCCTTTAAAATCCAATCAAGCAAGTGTTCTGCTCAAGTCTCTCTGTTTCCAAGAATGGATGTCAAAGGGAGAATGCAATTTTGGTTTACAGGTCACTGACTAATATATTAAAGGGAAATCTCATGGGTAACTCTGGTTTTTCCAAATATTGCTCTGTAGCATTAAGTTTTTTGTTGTAAGTGAGAGAAAATATATGCCATTCACCGAAGGGCTGCAAGGGGTGAGTCAGTTGGGACATGTTGCTGTGGCCATTTAAGCTCTTTGAGTGATGCTCACTTTCTTTTCTCCCTTCCAATTTCCTTGGTCAGTGTTTGTCAGGTTCAACTCCAGCCATGGTTTCCCAGTGGAGGTCGATTCTGACACCAGCATCTTCCAGCTCAAGGAGGTGGTTGCTAAGCGACAGGGGGTTCCAGCTGACCAGTTGCGTGTGATTTTCGCAGGGAAGGAGCTGAGGAATGACTGGACTGTGCAGGTGAGTCTCCCTTGGTGGCCATTCCTGCGACGCTGCCAGCCCCATTGCTCATGCCGCCTGCACTGCCAATCTGACATTCATGCTTGAGATCTAATAGAATAAACAGTGCCTGGGGATTCCTTGAACTTTACTCCACACTGCTTCATTAATTCTGACCTTCTTAATTATGCATTAAAACAGCAAGCAGGAAAGATTGGAAGAACAACTGTGAAAGAGAGAGAGAGAGAGAGAACACCCGAGCTAGGCTTAGTGAATAAATGTTTACTGACTACAGGAGCAGCAAGGCACAATTTCTGTGTCTGTTCAATTTCTGCCTTACTTATTCCATTTGAATCTTAATGAAGAAGAGTTCGAATAAATGGTGCCCAGTCAGGCTGCTCAGTCCCTGCGCCGTGAGGAATTCGTAACCCAATTGTGACCCCTGGAGGATAGTGAGGGCTGCTCCTCCGCTCACTAGAGGAGGTGTGGGCTCAGGGCCCCACAGGCAACTAGCTTTGAGCACTCCTTGGCCAGGACGAGAATCTCAACGTGGGGAAGGCAGCCTGGAGCACAACAAAAGTACACCTTTGCGTTGAATTTCTCCAAGGTTCAGTAAAACTGACCCTGGAAATAGGTCCCTGCAAAGTAATAGAGTGAATGATGCTCTCTTCTCACTGGCCCCAGCAGAGCTTCCGGCAGCCCACTGCTCCTGGCCCCATAAAAGCCCTACACACTTTTCATTCGGATTGGTGACTTTTGTAGGAATTAGGGGGAACTGGTGAGGTGATTGATAATACCACCATCACCTAGAACTGAAGACCAGTCATTTGTTGGGGAAACTCACAAATACAACTCACCATGTGTTGACGTGTTCTTTGTGAATGTGAGAAAGACTAAACACTTTCTGTGAATGGTTCCTATGACTGTTAAGGACCCAGCAGACATATGTTCCCCTTTTCTTAACCAGCATCAATTAATTGCACTCAGGTTTACAGCTATGTGGGGACCTGGCGGGCTGGGCACGCAAAGCCCGTCCTTCGGTCTGCGTCCTATCCCTGTCTCTTCTGGATAATGATATTTATGGCTTTGTTAAATGCTCTCAGGATTGGGGTATACAAAGAAGCCATAGACATGCAAATTGTTCCTGTCATTCTCCATTGCATCTCCTGCTGATGGTGTTAAGGCCCACACTCCTTGTGCACAAACTGCTGGGCTTTGCTTTCAGGCAATTTGGATTTATAAGGGAAGTGCATGTGCTAAAAAGTGTTTTGATTTTTTTTTCTATTTTAGTCAACTAAGATGCTTTTCACTATATCTGTCAACCTCTAAATCCAAGGATGTTTCCTTCACAAGTAAATACTTTTAAAACAGCTCCTTGAATCAAAACATTTTATATTGCTAGAACTTTCAGGTTCTAACACTATCATGAGTGCTGATTCGTAAAACAATTAGTCATTTCCTATGTAGTTAGACTAATTGCCTCAAAGGATTGACTTTACAAACATATGTGCATAAGATATGTATTGATTTAAGAGTCTTTATATTGACAAACACTTCTTAAGCATTTCCAATGTTCTAGGCTTCTCAGGGGATCCAAAAGAGAGACAAAACTCAGCCCCTGTCTTCATGGAGACTGGTCTTTATTTATGAGCCCCAAAATCAAAAGAAATATTAGATTGAACCATATGGAATTGCCATTTTTATAGGTTCAACAATTGCATGTGGTTCAACCTAATAGCCATAATATAAGAATGTAAAACAAAACTTCCATATTGCACCTGAAAATATTATGAAGTTTTAAAGGTGGAGAAAACACATATGGTTGGAAGTTACCAGGCAGAACTTCATTGATGAATAGAATTGAGGTAGGATTCCACAGATGGAGGAATGGAAATGTGCACAGGGAATGCTCAATGAAAAGGATGAATTCTTGTTCTTCGAGAACCTAAAGCAGGTGTTGCAGACTGGACAAAAAATAAAGTATGGGCTATATTCCACAAGACATTGACTAACTTGGCATTGAAGTTTCACTGGTGGGGAACTGGAGAACAGTGGGATGCTGTAGAAGAAAATGGGAAGTCTGAAGACCTAGTTTGGTGAAGGATGCTGTGTTATTTCATCATAACGGGAGTTGAAGCCAGCTGAATATGTGTGTGTGGAGATGTCTAGCTGGCTGTTGAGAACTTGGGTCTGAGGACACTGAAAAAGAAATTTTGATATTTATGGAACTTCTGGTAAATCACAGTTAAATGATTTAGGTGTTGAGAAGTTGGCAAACTGTGTTCCCATAAGAGTTTCACTGTAAAGACTAGGAAGTTACACATGTAATTGCAAGTTGATGGCTATGTTTTATTTAAGTGTACAATTGGCAGAATTTTAGCATCCTTTGATATTCTTGTATAATCTTGTATAGGCTTACAACTATTTAGTCAATACCATTTAGTTACCCATTATCATTACAGGTGCTATATTTCACAGTATAAGCACAAAATATACAATAATAAGTTGCTGCTGAGAAAAAGAAGATGGACTTTGCATATGAGCTATTTAATGCTTTCACTAATGAATGCTAAATATACACCTTGGTGTCCTGAAGAGAAAATGAGATGGCAGGAGTGGTGTCTATGATTGCTGGGGGTTTCCTCCTGTTTCTCATTTTCTTTTATTCATTATCATAGGTGATATGAACATATATATTAGTTTATCATGCAAAATGAGATATTGTGCATATAAAACAAGACTCCATCAATAATTATTCCAGGACCATAGGTGTATGTTGGGAGTGTCCTAGGAAAACTGAGGCAATGGTCACCCCACATACTGAGCAGTGATTCTCACACTTAGTTTCACCTTCTTTGAGGAGGAAATTATTTTTAGTGCCTCACCACAGGTACTTTGGGGAAAATATAGCTTGAGACCATAGTCTTATGAAATTTCATACTTTAAAAAAGTGAGTTTGTCTATTTAACTGGCAAAGGATATTTGTAAGATTGTAATCGAATTGAAGTCATATATAAAAATTTTTCATATAATTCTCAGTTCTGGGAGAGCATATCCACAGGCCACTTAGAGAAGCACTGTTAGAGTATAGTTGTTTTCATTACACACTAATCTGTTCAGTTTTGTTATTGGCAAGACTTTAAGAACTTTAAAGAATTAAAGGAAAATGGAAAAAATACAGACCTTGAAAAATGAATGATCTGGTATAGATTCTGCTTGTGGGAAGCTGGAGTAGACATACTTCTCCCTCTTCCTCCCAGAAACCACACCAAAAGCCTAGACACTGCATATTGTACAGTTGACTCGTGGCATCATGGAGTTAGGGGTGCCAACCACTATGTAGTCAAAATTCATGTATGCTTTTATCTTCCTCCAAACTTTACCAATCACCTACTATTGATGGGAAGCCTTACTGATACCATAAACAGGTAATTAACACATAATTTTTATATGTGATATGTACTGTATGGTTATAATAAAAAGTAAGCTAGAGAAAACACAAGAACATTACAAAAAGGAGAAAGCATATTTACTATACATTAAGTAGAAGTGAATCATAAAGATTTTCATCATCGTTGTCTTCATATTGATTGGCTAAAGAGGAAAAGGAAGAGGGGAAGTTAGTCTTGCTCTCTCAGGGGTGACAGAGACAGAAGAAAATCTCCATATGAATGGACCCACGCAGTTTAAACCTATGTTATTCAAGGGTCAGCTGTACAAGCTTATGAAGATTCTGAAAGTGGTGAGAAGAATGTGGACAGACTAGGGATTTTAGAACCCAAGGAAGGATACAGAGGTGAATTTCTTGAGTTTTCTTTTTGTCACATCACTGTAGATGTGGAACTGAAGAAACTGATAACCTGGAAATGTCAATGTGTATAGACAAAAAGAAGAGAAAAGAAGCGGAGAGGGAGGGAGAGGCAGAGAGAGAATAAGAGAGAGAGAAAGAGAGAGAGAGAATAGGGAGGGGAGAGGAAGAGGAAAGGGAAGGGAAAAGGATGAAAGAAAGGAAGGAAGGAAGAAATCCCTCACAATGGCCTGTTTTTATCCAAAGAACTCGGAAAGGGCCTGGCAATACAGAAAATATTTAGACAATAGCCAGTCAACTCCAGCCAAATGCAGCCGAAAAACTGCAGCCCTATCCTTGTCCCCACTAACGCTAGTAAAGGCTGAGTGGAGGGCCTTTTGTTTGACATTTCTGAAATAAAACACTCACTGATGGGTTTGACAGAAGGATGGAAGGGACAGAGAAAAGAGTCAGTAAACTGGAAGATGGAACATAGAAATGACACAGTCCAAATGACAAAGAAAACCTAGCTGGAAAAAGAAAAAGGGAATAGAGACTTAGAGACCTGTGGACCTCTGACAGAGCTTTTAAAGTTTGTGTCAGGGGAGTCCTAGAAGGAGAAGATAATGGTGGGTGAATGTTCAAAGAAATGAAATGATAGTTGGAAATTTCCGAAGTTTGCAGGACACCTGAAGTTATGGATGGATTCATAAAGCTAAGTGAAACTAAAACAGGAAAAACTCAAAGAAACCCACACCAACACACATCATAATTAAACTTCTTAAAAGTAAAGATAAATTTTAATCTTGGAAGAAGCCAGAGAAATATCACACCTTCTCTATAGGGGTAAAATTGTTTAATTACAGTGGATTTCTCATCAGACACTGTGAAGGCTAGAAGGAAATGGCACAATGTTTTTCAAATGCTGAAAGAAAAGAACTGCCAACCGATAATATTATACCCAGTGAAAATGTCATTCAGGAATAAAGAAGAAATCAATACATTTTTTAGATAGGGAAAAACTAAGTACATTTGTCATCAGCAGACCTACCCTAAAAGAATGGCTAAGGAAATTTTCTAAACAAATGAAACAACAAAAGAGGGATTTTTGGAATATGAAGAAAGAAGGGAAAACATAGTAAGCAAAAATATGGATAAACACATGCACTTTTTTCTCCTCTTGAGTTTTCTAAATTATGTTTGAGGTTTGCAAAAGTTATAACATTGTTTAATG